TCAAACAGTGGAATGCCCAGTTCTTTCATGCCTTTGCATCCCAAAAAACGCTTTGCTGTTTGCCCTCACAATGGTTACACTAGATTGCATGTATTTTTATGATTTCTCCTGGAGGCGTGGCTAGGACTGCTCAGTGGAAAACAGTAGGCTGCTAATTCAGTTTGGGATCCAGGCAAGGCTTACTCCAGGCAGGGGGGTCTGAGGTCAGACTTGCCTCAACCCACCTGCACCAACCATCTACCTGGGGAACAGCTATGGCTGATCCACAGGATGATGTACCCCAATGCCTGCATTAAGGTCACCCCACTTTTCTTTTCAACACCTGTTTCTTTAATGTCATCTCTTACTGTCATTCCCCTCTCAGAAACTACCAAATTACTCAAACATTACTCAAACTGGCACAGAGGAAGGACAGCTGTCATTTACCTTCTCTTCATGGATATTTTGCCCTGTGCCTGTCACTGCCTGCTCAGGCATCTGACCAAGTCAAAGCTCTCACCCATGGCTGAAGAAGAGAACTGTTTGCCTTGGATGGTCATTGCCCAAGCAGTTATTCCAGAGGTGGATTACTGCAGGGCCAGGTAAGATTCTTCATCAGAAGATAACTGATCCAAAAATAACATATCCTGCTCAGGAACACGCCCATCTCTAAAAACCCTCTTAAACACAGCACAGCATTTCAAATGTCAGCTCCTGTGCAACACTGGCAGCCCTGGTGCCCATCTGACCCCAGGCAGGTGTGGTGCACTCTGCTGTTTTGAGGTCTCTCACTTTGGAAGAACGATGCCAACAGTCCTGGTTTTATTCCCATGCAGAATTGGGAAGTGGTCTAAATCTTAAAATGTTAACGGGAGAAGAATACAGTTCCCTGAGTTTAGGCTTTTCTCCTGACACATACTGCAGTCAGGCTGTTGAGCTGTTCTGGATATATCCCCATGCTGACAAGCCCTGCCTCTGCCCAGCAGTCCTACCGGGGGCTGTTTTGGAGGTTCATGCACATTGTTTTTCTCTTAACTCTGTGGCCCAGAGCTGCAGCTAATCTTCCTCCCATAGCTGGCAGACCCTTTTCTTCAGCTAATCTGTGTCAAACCTCTGCGCCATACAGCAACCTCCTATCTCTGCTCTGTGCTCTCAACTTCTGAGAAGCAACACTGGGGAAAACACATCCCTCCCAGTGGCCCCATGCCTTGAAACTTGTCTTTCCCTGCTCAACATCAGTCAGGTCTTCAAATATTCTAAAAGAGCAGACATGCTGTAAATGCCTGCAGCGCATGTAAGACTTTCTGCCAAAAATTGATATTTTTATCCTCAGTGTGATTCCTTGCATCCAAATGAAAGAGGTGCCATGAACAGTGACTGCACTCTGTAGTTAACGATCCCAGGTATGTGTAGACATATTTCTCAGCATTTTTAAGCAATTTGTTTGAGCAGCCAAGAAGACAGAATGGGGCTCATTATAATTACAGTAGCTGCCACTAAAATTCAACATTTCCCTGCAAAACTATATATTCATTACACTTGTTCCATGTTTCAAACATGAGGGGAAAGAGATCTTTATGTGACAAACGGGTCCAGAGCTTCTTACTGTCCAACAGTTCGGCTTCTGTATTATTTATAACTTGTATACATCAGCATTCTGCATCCATGTTATGTCACCCTGTTTCAGCCACAATGATCTCATTGGCATACTAAGGCACTGCTTTAACAGATGTCAGGTTTTTAATCCTAAATGACTCTGTAAACCATAACAAATATCTTACCTTCTGAAAAGGTTGGCTTTTCCCTTTATTTTCTATTGGCATACCTGATCTTTGTATCTTTGATCCTTGAAGTGGTGAATCTAAATGTTAATCTCTAGTTAATCTCTAAATATATTCCAGTTAAGTCTGAAAAGCAGCATGACCTACATCCTCTTCTAGTAAAAAAATGGCTAAGATATACTTAAAATGGTCTTCTTCAAGGGTGGAGGAATTCTAACTCTTCCAGATACTTTATATGTAACGTGAAGAAGTAGCAAAACAGTTTTCTTTAAGGGAAATACTACTGTAAAAATGACTGAAATTGCCAAGCTTCCACCCACTCCCTTCTCAGACAAAAGCACCACTCATCTCTCAGCCTTCCCCTCCTAAGTGGGTTGCACAGCCACTTCCCATGGCTCTATCACAGAGAACAACATGTACTGCAGCTCTGATAAAGCAGGGAGCAAACAATCAGCTCCCATGCTTCTTAGGACAGTTCCTCATTAGAAAGACAAAGTAGGCTTTCTGATTTGGTCAGAGGTCTAGCAATGCACTGCACAAAGTCCTCCAAATGTCTGAAACATTAATACAAGAACAGAACAGATCGGAACAGAATAGGATAGGATAGATTTCAGTTGGAAGTGACCTTGACAACCATCTAGCCCAACTGCCTGACCAATTCAGGGATGCCCGAAAGTTACAGCATGTTACTAAGGCCATTGAGCCAATGACTCTTCCCCACTGACAGGCTTGGGGCATCAACCAGCTCTCCAGAAAGCCTGTGCCAGTGTCTGAACACCCTCTCTGTGACAAAATGCTTCTTAATGTCAAGTCTGAACATTCCTTGAGGAGCCTTGGTTAAATAATCTGCTGGATTGTTTGCGACCATGGACACACACTTTGGTTCACATACACACAACGATATACAGAATCTTTCCTTTGGATTCCCTCAGGTTTGCTGCTTTTTCCCAACCGCATCACATGCCTTTATTTCCTTGGACAATCAATACTATAACAGCTCCACCACTATAGCAACACTCCCACAGTTAGAGATTTCTTCCAAGTACAGGCTGCCAACACATCCACTTCACCTTAAACAGGGAAAGGAACCGCAGAAGTAACCCAAGTAGTGGACGTGTCCTTTCCACACTCATCTTCCCAGCATAAGCCAGGGATTTGCTTACACTGTCCGGCTGCTCCTAGTAAGCTGGATGAGCACAGGATGAAGAAACTTAGCCTAATTTGCTACACACAAACAATAAGCCTTGCAAGTGAAACACAAAGCTGACAGATCATTTGTTGTCTTCAAGAGTTGGCATGAAATAGGTTAGCAGCATTCCCACATCATCCTGAGCATATATCCACTTAACAGAATTAAGCAGTAGAAATTCAACATCTTTTACTACCCTTGATTAACTAAGTCTTATTTGAGTGAAGAAAAGGAAGAAGGTACAAACTGATGAAGGGTCACCCCCATTCCTAGAGCAATTTCAAGACAGTTATATTCAGTCTGCCACAGTTTCAGTGCCATTCCCACTTCTGATTAGAAGCAGCACTTGTTCTCCACGTGCAAAATAGCTCTGGGGTGCAGAGACTAATAATACACCTGCTCTCCCAGTGGAATTTTGCTCTGGGTAGTGATTAGCCAGGACCACATCCCCTCTGCATGGTGGAAATAAAGCAGACCTTGATTAACAGCAGCCCTCAGCCATCAGGAGGTGGGCAGGGGCACCAGTATTTAACACATCAGGTGTACTGTTCCCCACTGAAGTTTATACATTGTAATATAATGTAGTATAATAAACTTGTTGATTTTGGGCCTGACTGAAGCTACTTATCCAGAGGAATTGTGTATTCCCCGCTACTTGCAGTTAAGAAAAGGTGTACAGAAGTTTGTATAACACAGCAGCTTCAGCTCCGTGGAGCGGTACAGATAAGAACCACTTGTCTGGTATCTTACTGCAGATCAGAGCTTGAGGCTTCAGCAGAGCACTAAGCTCTGTTTATAGCCCTTTACAGCCCTTTTATCTATGTTGTTTTAAAAGCAGATTACACTTACACAAAACATTTTAACATTGTAGCAGATTGAAATTACCCTAAATTAAAAACTGCATCCTGAGTCTTCTAAAAGCTGTTGAGGTTATAAACTGTGTTTAATGAGCTGGACACATCTTTCTGCAATCACCCAAAGCTAGGAACTGATTAAGCAGCCATCAGACTTGTGTGCAAGTGCTCCATTAGAATATAGTTTTCTGCTGCACTGTGACATGGAAGTAAATTTAAAATCTGCACAAAATTGTTTTCTGCAGGCAACTGCTAGGAATCACAAATACTGCTGTATTTACATAAAAGCTGTATAAGTGAGCAGTGAATTAAAAGCAAACAAGGATTGCAAACAAGGATATGGTCATACATGATGGCAAAGTAGAACCCAAGGTATATAGAAGACACAGTGATTGCGTTTATAGGAATGATGACAGCAAAACAGCAATTAGAATTTCACATTTATGCAGAGAAGGACTTAGGGGTATTGGTCAATGAGAAACTTAACATGAGCTGGCTTCAGTGTGCACTTAAGCCCAGAAAACACCCGTGTCCTGGGCTGCATCAAAAGGAGTGTGACCAGCAGGTCGAAGGAGGTGATCCTGCCCCTCTGCTCTGCTCTGGTGAGACCTCACCTGGAGCATTGTGTGCAGTTCTGGTGTCCTCAGCATAAAAAGGACATGGAACTGTTGGAACAAGTCCAGAGGAGGCCACGAGGATGATCAGGGGCTGGAGCACCTCCCGTGTGAAGACAGGCTGAGAAAGTTGGGGCTGGAGAAGAGAAGCTGCGCGGAGACCTCAGAGCAGCTTCCAGTGTCTGAAGGGGGCTACAAAGATGCTGGGGAGGGACTCTTCATTAGGGACTGTAGTGATAGGACAAGGGGTAACGGGTTTAAACGTAAGCAGGGGGAGTTCAGTTAGATATAAGGAAGAAGTTCTTTACTGTGAGGGTGGTGAGGCACTGGAATGGGTTGCCCAAAGAAGTGGTAAATGCTCCATCCCTGGCAGTGTTCAAGGCCAGGTAGGACAGAGCCTCGGGCAACATGGTCTAGGGTGAGGCATCCTTGCCCATGGCAGGGGGGGTGGAAGTGGATGATCTTAAAGTCTTTTCCAACCCAAACCATTCTATGATTTATTTATTTTTCTTGATTTTTTTGTTGGCAACAACACAGCCAGAATAACACATTGGGATACCTTGAGAGGTGATTTTGGACTGACCCAAAAATGCCTGCATCAGCCACCATCAACGCACACTTCATCTCAGCGTGGACATTTCCCCAGAATCCCCCAGGGGCTGGGCTGGTCTCCCTCACTGGGGACACTCACTCTGCTTCAGGGGTGAGGATCCTGCTGTGCTTGCCCTGCACGCCCTGGTGACACAACGGGGTTGCTCAAAGGGAGCTCCTGCGGTCACCGAGGGATAAAGGGTAATACCCAGCACTCACCTTGAGCCAGTGTCCCGGGCTGCATCCTCCCCTAAGGCTCTTAGGAGAGCTGGCACTTTGATACCACTAACCCACAGAGAGCGGTGACTTTCCTCATGGAGTTTAGCATCAGTTTAACAAAGCCAATTAAAAACCTCTCTCCATTTAATCTGGTACAACGTTCCCTGCAGAGCAGGCTTCACCAACCACTACTGGGGATAGATGGAAGAAGCTTTAAGAAGGGAGGTCAGGCTCAGCTTCTCTGTTGTCTCTCCTTTCGGCAACATTAATGCCCCACAAGACAGGTAATTTTAAAACAAGACCTTACAATTCCCTGGCATCAGCTGCTCTCTCAGGACATCCCTTTAAACTACATTTTCAAGGTATCTTCTTTCTAAAATATGTTCAACAAACTAATTCAAACCCACTGTATTTTAATAGCCTTACCTGTAGAAGCCTTGGTTATCATATGCCATTTTAGCCGCATCATTGAATACGGATTTATTCCTGAGTTTCTTATTGTTGTTATTGTTTCTTCCCTTAAACCCAAAGTAAGCAGCTTGCATGTGCTCTAGTTCTTCGGCTCTGAGCTGGTACCACAGCTGCATATCTCTGTGAATAAAGCAAGGGATACAAAACACTGTGTTTGTGATAAACAGCTGTATCTCTGAGCTTTTGTCTGACCAAAGCCCTGACTCCCGAGAGTTTAAATCTAAATCCATGTTTACTGAAGACTGCACTAAAACACATAGCTGAACTTCAACTGCAAGGCAAACTTCCAGCAACTTACATAGCTGCTTAAATACCTTAAGGTGGTGGTGGTGGTGTGTTCTTAAATAGCATCAATTTTATTCTGTACAATAGTGGTATTTTAAGTATTATCAACCACTCCTCAAAAAAAACCCGTACAAATAAACCAAAAAAAGCACCTGTAGACAGTTCAAGGACAAAATCCCAATAATGATATCAATATGATTCAGTGGGTTTTGAGATTACAGCTAATAGCAAAAGTCACCTAAAGTGTGATGTCATGTCCGTTTTCTCAGGGACCTTCATCGGCAACACCTGTCAGGGCAGATCCTGTGTATGTGGAAAGACCTCAGCCCATCCCCACTTTATGGAACAAATTATTTCAGAATTAAAAAACAAGAAGTCTTTTCTGGGATGTTTTGCAGTTCTGCTGTTGCTGAGGTTCGGATCACCAGGCAGGCTGAAAAAATGAATTGACTTAAAAATGGTAATGTTGCCTTTGTGAAGACCAGGGCTTATTCGATTTCCCTTTGGAAGCACTCAAGGTGCTTTTCATGCTGCTCTCTGTAAGTTGGGGTGAGGGGGGGAATCACCATTTCTTTTCTTGTTTGTAAAAGAAGTCTAAGATTCCCACAGTCACAGACACTCACACGAGCTGATGGGACAAGATTAAAAAATTGTGAGAGCTGGGGATGCTGACTTTGGTGTCATTTCTGTCCTCTCAGGATGCAGTCCTGCTCCTACCAAAGAAAATAGTGGCTATGCTCATGCACTGTGAGGAGGCTAAATTATGTGAGGATTTTCAGTATCCTTTGTCCTTCTTCTCTCCAAATGCAAGGATAAAACATAAGATAGCACTTTAAAGATCATCAAACAGGTACCTTGAAAGACAGATTTGTAGGCAGAGGTGATCTCTTCTAGTTAGACCAACAAAAAGGAAGACAAAGACAAAGAGCCAAAGAAGAGCAGACAGGCAGACTTCAAAGGTAAAAGCAAGGTGAGGACATCCTCCCTACTCCACGGGTACAGACTACCTTTTCTTTCAGAGATGGTCTAAGAGACACTTATTTAACTAAATCCCTACCAAATATTCTCATTTTGCATTAAGTTACCAAGCCTGCAGCTTCTCTTCAGATTGATGTTTTGGGCATCCGAAAGTCAATCCACATTTTCCACCTACATCAACAAAAGAGATGCTACCACCACATCTGGTACGTTGCAGATCAAGCATATTACACACAGGGATGCGTTACTCTTTCTCACATGACATGGACAGTTTCTACATCATCTCAGGTGCTTTCTACCAAGCTTCTACCAAGCCACACACTGTCTACAGTGCCCAGAGCACCCCTCCAGGAATAGGGCTTGTGGACAGGCCGTGTTGGAGCAGTTCCTTCATGGGACCGTGAAGGGAGGACAGACAGCAGAAGAGAATGGAGAAGCTCCCAGCAAAGGGAATAGCATTAAGCCTGATGACAGAACCATGTCAAAATGCCTTATGTGAAGGGCTTTTCTTTCATAAGAGAAAAATACCAAGTTATCATAGTCATGTGAATGGCTAAGTGAGAAAACTTCATTTAAAATAAATGAAAAGCAAGGACTATGATATGAACAGTCTTATCAAAAAGTGGCAATTCCAAAAATGCCAATCAACCCTTCCATTTCAAAAGTTATTTCATGCTACCTAATATCATGAATGACACCAAAGACTTCCTTTTTTTTTTTTTGTCTCACAAAATCCTTTTGAGGGAAAATCTGTATCTGCAGTCAAATTTCAATATGACAGAATTTCCCCCCTACGCTGGTTCCCTCACAGCTCTAGATAAAACACAGCTCAGACCAGAGACCTTCACTGTGTCCTCCCTGATCTCCCTCTACTCCACTGCTACTCTGCCTTACTCCAAACACTTCTTGGAAGCAAGAAGAGGTAGGGGGCTGGAACTAGATGATCTTAAGGTCCTTTCCAACCCTAACCATTCTATGAATCTATGAAAATCAGAGTTCAGCTTACTGTGTGCACCACAGGACAGGTGCGGCCACCTCCACAAGCTACATACAGACATGGGAACAACAAGCAGGAAAAGTGAGAGGAAAATCAAAAAGAGGCACTCATGGAAAGCATCCTGCAGCAGGTCACTTTGGATGGATGCTCACATGAGCAACAGTGGCTCGGCTTTAGCATATAGCCAGATGTGGTCATGCAGCACACTTCACACTGAGTTTTTATACTGGTAAAATTTACTTCTTCCTGTGCCTGTTTCTAATCCTGAACATCAAGGCAGAAGACAAAATCCTGTCTCCTTCCAGCACAATGTTGTGACAGCTTTGCAGGCAGTGAGGACTTTTGATGGTTTTGACATGGGTAGATTAATTTTCCCAGCAGTGCTCAAGAAAAGCAAAAGAGAAAGAGAGAGAGAAGAAGGGAAAATGCAGCCAAGGTTAAATAATTCAAGGAGAGAAAGACTGGGCCAGTAAATAAGACTTGTATGTTCAGCTTTTGCATAATCCTGGATAAATCCAGATCTGCCCAGACCCACTGAGGTTATCTGATATTAACGGACATTAGGTGCCTAAATACGCTCGAATTCCAAGTCTTTCTATGCCTAATGCTTGACCTACAAATTAAGGATTTTAAGTAGTTAACATCATTGCAGTGTTGCAAGCATCAAGTCCTTTGAAGCTCTCTGCTATCACAGCAGTGGGATCCATCTGATGAACAGTCTTACCCTGGCTTTAAAAATCTTTTCTTGACATACCTTTGAGTCCTCCTCCTTTCACTTTTCTTCACACACTTGATAAGACAACAAGTTAAAAAAGCCATGGACATCAGCAGAATGACGGCACAGCTCACGATGGAGGCAATCACTGCAACCTTAAATCCAAAACTCTCATATTTTGATATGGCTGCAGCAAAGCAAACACAGAAGCATGTTTCTAAGGTCAAGCCATGAATTCATCATTCACATTTTCATTAAACAATCCTGTAACCTACCTGCTTCCCACTTCTGCTAATAGTAGCTCCGCAAGGACTTTCACGTTAGACTGTGCCAAGATACCAGACTAAGCTTTGGCTTAGAGCTATGCAAGCCTCCAGTTAGGGTATTTAAAAATCTCTATTTTATAAGCTACTCATGAATCGTTCACAAGTATTTAATCACTGTAATTAATTAAACACAATGCCTTGAGTGCTGCAGTAGCTAAAAAGCACAACTTTGTCAGCATCCCAAATGCAATTGGACATGGAACTGTTGGAACAAGTCCAGAGAAGGGCCACGAGGATGATCAGGGGACTGAAGCACCTCCCATATGAAGGTAGGCTGAGAAAGTTGGGGCTGTTCAGCCTGGAGAAGAGAAGCTGCGTGGAGACCTCATAGCAGCTTCCAGTATCTGAAGGGGGCCTATAGGGATGCTGGGGAGGGACTCTTCATTAGGGATTGTAGTGATAGGACAAGGGGTAACGGGTTAAAACTTAAACAGGGGAAGTTTAGATTGGATATAAGGAGGAAATTCTTTCCTGTGAGGGTGGTGAGGCACTGGAATGGGTTGCCCAGGGAGGTTGTGAATGCTCCATCCCTGGCAGTGTTCAAGACCAGGTTGGATGAGGCCTTGGGTGCCATGGTTTAGTGTGAGGTGTCCCTGCCCATGGCAGGGGAGCTGGAACTGGATGATCTTAAGGTCCTTTCCAACCCTAACTATTCTGTGATTCTATGATTTATAAGCAATTGTTAACAAGGACTGGAGCTGCAAAACCAAATACTGAGAAGGGGAAATGGCTTTAAAGAACTGTCCTTTAGAGCAGGGACAGTTCCATGTAGTTGCATTCTACCTTGCAGGCAGTGAACAACAGCTCTTCCTCTGTTTGGGGAAGGATGCAGAATGGGAGAAGGGACAACATCTGCAGGGCTGAGTGTTCACAGTGATCTGATGCTGGAAGTAAGTTATCCAGACAAAAGGAGGAGTGGGAATGTGGTGTGGCATAGCTAAAGCAGATTTGGAGCTCCAACTCATTTGGAGCACTAAGCGGGTCTTGCTTCGTAACTCCTGTAGTTCTTCCAACACCACAAAGATCAGCACCAAAAATGGTTCAGCTGAGCTCCACACAAAGCATTATACTGCTGCAGCCTCTGGAGGGAGTATCTGAAGGGGGCCTATAGGGATGCTGGGGAGGGACTCTTCATTTGGGATTGCAGTGATAGGACAAGGGGTAACCGGTTAAAACTTAAACAGGGGAAGTTTAGATTGGATATAAGGAGGAAATTCTTTCCTGTAAGGGTGGTGAGGCACTGGAATGGGTTGCCCAGGGAGGTTGTGAATGCTCCATCCCTGACAGTGTTCAAGACCAGGTTGGATGAAGCCTTGGGTGATATGGTTTTGTGTGAGGTGTCCCTGGCCATGGCAGGGGGGTTGGAACTTGATGATCTTAAGGTCCTTTCCAACCTTCACTATTCTATGATTCTATGATTTCTCTCATTTTTCTTTAATGGAATCTCTCAAATAAGATATAAGAATAGCTGAGCTTGAGAGGAAGCATAAAGTGTCTATAGGAGCCATCCATCTACTTCTGATTTAAAATATCCGAGGTCTGAGACACAGAATGAGATTCTCAACACTCAGAGGTACCATGTTTTGCTTGGGCCTAGTCAAATTACTAACTAATTAGTAATAACTAAATTATTGTATTAAATAAGAAGGAACGCAGCATGAAAAGTAGTTAATCCTGATGCCATTCAAACATGGTTTGTCAATGTGGTAACTTTCCCAGGCAGCTGCCCACAGGCAACAACCTGGAATTGTTCAAGAAGTATCACTGCATTTGTTTTGCAGCAAAAGTATCTTCAGGAAAGGAAGCCGGGAGATTAGAGGGTTTGCAAACAAGTTTGCACATTAGCTGCTCATAGCTACACACTTTCTGAAGAATGGTACAGCTTGTAGCTATAGAGCCACAGTTACTCTGGGCGCTGCACTGTGGGAGCTGGTGACATGAGATCCGGCACAAACCTGACCGAGTCTTTTCTGCGTCCTGATAATGAATTATGTCAGCATACATATGGAGCATAATTACAGTCAGTGAGGGCAACTTTGAAGGAAACTGAATTTGTCTTTTTCTTTGCCCAGATGTCTCGAATTAATCCTAATGCAGGAGATGGGCAGGGCAAAATAAACACAATGCAGCCTAAAGGGGTTGTGAATGGTTTGGAAAGAACCTTACGCTGGCAGGAGGGCACTCCGGCTGTCCACTGGGTACCATTCCCTTTCCAAACACAGGTGATGAAGCCAGGTCCCTCCAGCTGGTACTCAGCAGAGCACTGGAAGGTTATTACAGTCCCCACAGCCGTGCCGTTGCCATGAAGGATGTTTAGCGTGCCGAGCTGGGGGGGGAAGACGTGGCTGCACTGCCCTGCAGAACAAAACCAAAGTGAGACAATGCAGTGCCAGAGCCAGTTTTATTGCTATCAGACTGTAAATCTGAGTTAATGGTCAAAACAAATAACAGACCTCAGGGAGGGTGATGCTGAGGGCTCTGCCAAGCACAGCCCAAGGCCAAGCCCCCTTCGGTGCCATTCAGTAGTTCCCCTAGTCTGACCCCTGGCACAAAGCGGGGTTTTACTTGTACTGCAACAAGTATTGCTTAGGCTGGTACACGTTAAACTATTAAAAAGTCATTCTGGGAGTGGCATGGTCTCCTACGGATTCCTGTCTTGTTGGACAGTATGTGTTCAATTAAGTACTCAGGCTGGCATCTTCCATACTGGAAGTACTCATAACACATCTTCCCCCATGCCAACTTTGCAAGCTCTGATGGACTGATCACGTATTTCAGGACGTCAATCTACTTGGTAGCACCTTTTCCTGATCCTATGGGAACTTCCTGTCTTTCAGGAGAATATACCTCTGTTAGTCTTGGCTGAAATGAGCCAGTAGATTCAAAAGCTACACAGAGGGGACAGAAACATAGACATATAGCAGAACTACATTCAACTTACCTCCATGTTCAATGACAAACTCTGCTTTATAGTGTACCAGGCATTTTTAGTACATTTTTGTTCATTCAGCTTTTCTCTTTTTTTTGTTTCTTTGTTGTTCATACTGCTGCCCAGCCACTAACTTTATACATTGAGTTTGACTGTCACAACTTTCCTTGTTTCACACTCATTTTAAACACAGATTTGAAGACAATATCCAATATCCAGATAGACTTCAAACCCAACAATAATACAGGGTCTGGGTTTGCACACGTGCAGTGACATGATGTGGAAACTGTTCTTTTTTTCTACATTTACTGAATACCAGCACTGCTTCTGCATCAGAGCCCGGGTTCCCTACCTTGCACTGGATTTCCAGATGACTTCAGCAGACTGAGAGGCAGCTGCACTGCAGTTGCATGACCAGAACTGCAAACACTATGATGACACACAAAAGATTACAGGGGGAAAAGATGATTCCCACACTTATAAGCAAGAAGAAATGTAAGTTTTTAAGAGCCCTCTTGAGAGTATCTTGACAGAATCACATGTTGATAGAAAATTTATTTTATTTTTAATACTAAATCTCCCCCTGGTCATTCGTTAATATTAAGCTGCTGTGAACAAACCACAGCAGACATGCTGACTGCTCATCTCCAATCTACTCTCTTAAAACCCCCAACCCGCTGGGAAACAAACACAAAGAAATCTCAGCAAAGGCAAACGCAAAACCCACAGTGACAATATCTGCTCTAATCTACTAAGTAAATATGTATTGAGGTCTAGCTTTTAAAACCATGCCTGGTTTAATTCCAGGTAGATTATTTCTGTTTGTTTTGCCACTTCTTTCAGTCTCTTCTTATGGCAGCAATTTGCCTCAATGACAGCAAATATTTTCTAGAGGGTCATTTCCCGTCATCTCTTGCCCTTCCCTCCAACATCCTGATACTGGCACACATGGGACGTGTGCATGGGACAATCTCCTCCTCACTCCAGATGAGTATTACAAGTTTGAACTTTTCTTTTTACTTTAATGACTCAGAGATTTCCCATGAAAAACCATGGTTCTAAGACGCAAAGTATCTACCTTTTTGCATTTTATGCTTTCAAGGCCATTTTTAGATACCGGATCACATACTTAGAGTTCACCTTGGTGACACTTGTAGCTGCACCAGAGGCAGAAGGTAAGTCAGGGCTAAATGTGATTCAAAGCCCATCTGCTTAGCCACCATAGTAGCCCTCATTAGACAGTTGCAGTAGACTTGCCAGTTTACCTGGGCTTAGTATTCAGCCTCTGCTCTCCAAAGAAATGTTCATTTGGAACTGGATCCTTTATTTCAAGAAATATTTCATCTAATCTAGCATTGACCGTCCTGAGTAATAGGTGCAGCTGTAGTTGGTTCAGGCCCTCTTGACCCTTTCCTGCATGGTCCTTGCCCATGACAGTGTATGCTGAATGACTAAAATCTCTGAATGTCAGTGCCCTTGTCAGCATTATTCCTCAGCTGTGGATTTTAACACATTTTTCTTCACTTCAGCACTACAAAGATTTCCGACAGTCAATGTCTCATGAAACCATGGATATTTCCTTGCTTTGACCAAGGCTGTAACAGCACTATGTCATCCCCAGAGGATCATTCCCGTAGGAATGTAATTGGGGCAGGACCCCCAGAGGTTCTCATTAATGACAGCTAATGAGAGCTCAACTTTTGAAAGCTTCTATACCTGGCTCTACACAGATGATGAGCTGAAAGTTCATCAACTGCATATTACGTACCTGCATTTGGCCAGAGTAGAAATATCATTTTTTCTTCCTCTTCACACTAAAGTCAAAACATTAACCTTGTCACTATTTTTTGCACTTTACAAATACTTTTATTGCAATGCATAAATGGATGTTTGCTAGTTTGACTTCATGAATTTCAGCCAAGTTCAGATTTAATATCCCTGGATAAAATTTGCCCTTATTTTCATTAGTGATAGTCTTCTAATAACTCATTTGTAAAATGTCTCCTGTAACCTCTAGCATCCTTTGCCATTAACTGTCTATAATGTTTTTGTGGTTACTTGCTGCATTCACTTTTCTGCTAGGTTAATTTTACCCTTCCATCTCCAGAAAATCATTGCTTAGGTAAGCTTCCGCCTTCATATTGAAGCAGATGTTCCAGACAGATGTTGCCCAGTAGTGCTTACCCCGACCAAGGGCTTTCTTAGTCTCATGCTCTGCCAGGGAGGATGGGAAGCCAGGAGGAAGAAGAGACAGGACACCTGACCCAAACTAGCCAAAGGGATATTCCATACCACAGCACGTCATGCCCAGTATAGAAACTGGGGGCAGTTACCCAGAAGGCCCAGATTGCTGCTTGGATTGGGCTGGGTAGTGGTCAGTGGATGGTGAGCTCTTCCCTTGTTATTTCCCTTATCATTATTATTATTGGTGGCAGCAGCAGTGGTTTGTGTTATACCTTAGTTACTGAACTGCTCTTATCTCAGAGATAAGGGGGGGGGGGGTGTGTTGGAGACAAAAAGGGCAAGTGAGTGAGCGGTTGCGTGGTTCTGAGTTACCAGCTGGGCTTAAACCATGACAGTCCTTGCTTAAACCATGATAACTCTTCAGGCATGCTTATCTAACTATATCTGCTACAGCCAAGAACTTCATTGTTGTTTGTTTAAATGCAGTACGTTTCCATTTTTGGTGTCAGCTGAGGCTGGTGGTGGAGGTTGCATTGCCTCCTGAAGTAAAACACAAATACTGCATTTGTGCTGACCAGATTTACACCTTGATTTACATTTCTATTCTGAGCATCTAGAAAACATCATGTTCAAGTCTTGGTCTGCAGGAACTGTTAGCACCCAGAAATGTAAAACTGAATAAACCCCCTAATTATTGCTCACAGAGCTTTTGCAATAGCTACATCTCAAACCCCACCAATTCATGCCTGACAGCCAGCACCTAAAGCTAGAAGGAACACTTGAGGACTTAACAGCCTACCAGCCATTTCTATGTAGTTTATAATAACCACAAACACTCATGATGTGTTGTTCAGTTTTGATTAGCTTCATAGCATTGTTTCTAGACTTGATATGTGCCTCCAGCACCCAGTTCCCATTACTCCTCACTGTTGTTCTCCACTCCCAGGCTCATGTTCTGCTTACGCTTCCAGATAGCGGCTATTACTCCCAAATACAAGAAGAAAATGTAAAGCATCCACTCTGGTGAATGGAGATGGCCCTCAGCCATCAGCTGCCCAAGTCAATTCAAGTTCCTGCAGCTACCTCTGCAGCTACCTCTGCAGCTTCTGGTAAAGCAAGAGATGATTTATGCAAATGCATTTCTTAGCTTGGCTTCACACTGAGATGCTATCCAGCATTCAAAAAGTATCTGAATCTGCTGTTACTGTCTGCCAACTGAGAAGAAGGCGATTTGCTATAGCAAATGAACAGATTATTTCATATGAAAAATAACTGTGCTCAAGGTAAAAACACTAAAATGCAGCATACTCCGTAAATTCTTAATTCAGCCAATCCTCCGGGTTCAGAAATAGCCACATACATAATTTCCAGGCATTGAAAAATAAAATAGTAATGCAAGAATTAAGGCAAAATAATCTAAAATATCTCTTCTTATGTACAGCCAGGATTATCTGTATTGCAAAACCAATTTGTCAGAAAGAGTTACCATATGGTTTCATTGTCAGAAAGCTGCGGATTTGTATTTTGCTGATAAGAAAACAGACATGAAAGAGCAACTGAGACATGCTTGCCCATTAAACATTTCCTGTGTACCTCCCACAGTGAAACATAAACTAAAAAAATCAAATACACCACATAAGTATATACTAAAATGCTCTAAACCTCAGCAATAATTACCTGAAAGCATGTTATCAAGATTGTCACTCACAGGTTTTGCAGAAAGGGAGCAATCCATGACTTTGCCTCATTATTCCCATACACACATAACTCAAGTCTTCGTGTTGCTTCTTGTTGACTATTTAATGCAACTAAAACATGCTGGAACAACCGGATGCCAGGAAGAGACAGAACATCAGGTTCTATAAACCCTGCAGGAAATAAACTTGCTGATATTATTTCTGCAAGTCTCTCTGCCTACAGAAGCATGCCTTCAAAATTAGTTTCCCTGAAGTCACAGGCATAATGTTGACCATCCACAGCAGCCCCACAGAAGGGCTGTTGGAAGAGCTTGCCATGTCAAACAACCAAAAGTAAAGCAGCTAGAAGTGAAATGTGAACTATGAAAGAAAGCAGAAGTAGTAAAGCATCTTGTGTGGGTGAAACCACCAGTCCCGGCATTGGTCCCCTCGCGACCGAGCCTCCGCTCCCTTGCAGTGCTGGCTGTGAGTTCTGCCAGGGCTGGGCTCTCAAATGCATCAACATCAATTGTTGCTGCAACATCAATTGGATACCAGGAGGAGCA